GAAAGTACCAATGGTGATGCCTGCCTGTCTCCTTGCACCATCACCTTTACCTCCCAACATGGTGAGGGAGGCCCAGGAGCAAAGCTCTGGTTGGATTAAACAGCACTCTGAGCCCTGCTTCCCTGGGATTTGGGAATAATTTAAGAGGCACATTTTAACAGGCCCAGCTCCAGGCAAGGACTCATCGTCTGTTTTTCCATGTGAGGAGACCACATGAAACATAACGCATTAAAAAGTTATCAGCGGCTACTGTGGAGGAGCACTGCGTTCCCCTGCCTGGCATCGCCATGGCATACTGCCGCCTTAAAAAGGCTCCCTCTGTCCCCAGCACTGACTGAGCACCTCTTCATAAATGTTTGGCGTAAATGAATGAACTGTTGAAATTCCCCAGAAGAGGAAGGAAACATTTCCACAAGCAGCATGTGGCAAACATGAGTCTTCAGGGAAAACTCCTCAGAGACTTGCGCATCTACAAATGGTCGGTAACGGTCGAAATCAGGAAATGCACACAGAAAAATAGTAAGTTATTTTATTATAGATAGCAAAGAACTGATGTACAAGAAAGAAAAATCTCTCTAAGTATCAACCAGTTTATCAAAAAGTTAAAGCACAATAAAATGTGGAGGTCACAGACTCTAGCAAAAACCCTCCTGTGAAACACAATAAATGCACAGATGTTAATTCTGGTATCTATACTTGCAAAAAGGACCTGTAAGAAAGGAAAATGAAAAAGAAATGAAAAGTAAAATGAGACTAAGGAACCTGAACAATGAGAAAGTAAATTAACACCAATACAAGTATGCCTCATCATCTGCTGCTTCCCATAGCCTGAAGCTTTATGAAGTACAGTACTTGGATTTGGAAAAATATAGTGTGTCTAAACTGTTGGGTTTTTTTCCGAATACAGATATGCCTAGAAAAATACTCCAAAAATTCATCAGTTCTGGGAATACATGGACCAAGAAAAAAGAAAATAGTGCTAAGAGGAATCATCTTGCCAAGCAGAGAGCGAGTGCACGGCTTGCCAATTGTGTAGTGCGTGATTGAAAGCAACAGCACTCGCAGATATTTTAGGGAGCACCAGATCATAAACGAGTGGCAACTTGGAGGAATTCCCAGAAAACAAGAAGCGATCGCAGGAATAAATTGCAGGGCATTTTAGCGTTGAAAAAGGTGACCTCTGAGGAAGAACCAGCTGAAGGTTGCAACATGTGGCTGCTGTTCGTGAGCCTCCAGTAAGAAGCAGCAGAGCTTGGAATGGGCTGTCCACCATGTGCACAGTGAGTCACCATGGACATGCTGCCAGAGCTGCAGCAGCAGAACCTCGCTCACCACAGGGCGAATCCACCCAGGAAAGCACCAGCAAAAATGGGACCGGAAGGAAATTGCTGGTGCCACTGGGTGCTGTCCCCTGCTTGAGCAGCATCTCCTGGGACACTCCCTGCCCTGCCTCCACCAACACAATGCAGATCAGATGAAATACCTGGACTCTGATTGAAACCAAGCCTGCCCCAGCCTCGTGGCACATGGCAGTTCCACTCGCAAGTGGTTTTCAGTTGTTGGTAAACCAGGATGGATGGAGACTGGGCATATCACAGGCAGGTGAGGCAGTGAGGCAGGTATGAAGGGGAGTTTTCCAAAGTTAAGTATAGTGGAACATGGCATGAGTTGTGTCTCAGCTCCTTCCCTGGCTGTTTTTGAGGCCTGGGCAGGGAAACCTCCCAAGGGAGAAGTGGAACTCAGGCAGGGACCCTCCTTCAGCCCCTCCTCCTGCTGCTTTCCATGTCCCTCACTTTCCTCCTCTGGCTGTGCTGAGCTGCTTGTGTCCCTGCTGTGAACCTCCAAACTGCCTGGCAGGCTTCATTAGCAGCTCGGGGTGCGCTGCAATGTGGCTGCTCCCCTGAAGGAAGGAGGAAGAGGAGGAGGAGGTGATGTCCCTGGTGTCACACTGCTTGCATGGCTCAGCATCCAGGCACAGGAGCTGGTGCCCGTGGTAGGCAGCAGTGGTCTCCAAACAGGATGAGGCCCTTATAGCCAATAAGGTGGTGCTGGAATGTCTGCTCAGACACACCTACACAGCCACATGTTCAGGCTCAGTCTGGTTTACATCTGGGATTTGGGAAAGGAATCTGAAATCTCTCCTGAAGTGTGTAAGCAGCAGCTTTCATTTGCCAACACCACAGAGATATTTAGTGGGGCCATCCATAGCAAGTGACATCCATAATTCCCAACAAATAGCCGCGGGTGCTCGTGTCCTTCACTCAGGGAACCAAAGCAGAGCAGCATCGGAGGCCTCTTTCTCCAAGTTCAGTCAAAAGTAGCCAATAGGTTCAAAACTCTACAGGGAGGGACAGATGGACAGACACACATGTAAACCATGTCAGTAGGAACGTATGGTCCTGCTCAAGGGGGAAATCTGTTCTCCATGCCCCAGCAGCAGCTGAGGATTACAGCGGTCTGGGGAAGCACAGCATCCTCTTCCCTGTCTATGTCAAGCCTCGTGAAGCAGAAACAATTTTGCTGCCCCATGACACTCCTGTGCCCTTACCAAGGGCTGAGCAGAGCGTGGTCCTCAAAACACTCGGCCTTTTTCCCCCATTTTGCACAATAGTTTACAAAAATCCACCAAGAAGAAAATCAGGATCATTAGATATTCAGGGGAGCAATGACTAGAAAGAGAGAAGCAGGCACCCATAAAAACGTGCCACCTTTTAACTTCATACCTCTACCAGTAAAGTATCTAATTATTTCTTAAATGACCCTGATGCTTTTTGCCTCAGCCTCCATGCCTGGTTACCCATTCCACGTATTTATTATTCTTTGCATGAAATAATGCTTCCTGACATCTGTTCCCAGTTTGTTTCTCTTTAATTTCCATTTATAGCACATTTTCCTATCCTCTGACCATGTTAAAATAAAACAATAAGTACGTTTGACACAGTGCAAGTTACTTAAGATCATGAGCCTTCCCTGACCTCGATTTTTCTTTTTTTAAACATGCTCTAAAATGCAGATAAACCCCTCCATATTAATGAACTATGATGAAAAAGCAAGTGGAAAGCTCAAAGATTCATCAGCCACTCAGCATTCCACACCTGTGCCAGCAGCCAGGTACCCGTGGACCAGTGTGGGGATTGGTTAGTAGCTACAGTCCAGTTCCACTCTGTCAAGTATCTGCTGGAGAGAGCAAGGAGCTGTGGGGCTGTGCAATCCTTCCATGAGATGGAGGGGAGAACCAGGTGGCTGTAAGAGACAGGGTGCCAGAGGGACAGGCACAGTAAAGGAAATGTTAATTCCTAATGCAGCGATGCAAATTGGCTTGAGTGATGCTTGCCCTTCTGACCAGGCAGATGGGAAAAGGTGCCTTTCCCTCATTCTGAAGGGATTTTGTGTCCAAGTACAATCTGGCAACTCCACAAGCAATAAATTCACAAGGAGAAGCAATGAGGAGTACTTTAGTTATAGCACAAGGATATTTTATGTTGTCATCTCTATCTTGGTACAAGCCCTCAATATAATTTTAGCTCAGGAGGCGGTTGCTTATGAAGCTAAAATAAAATTGAAAGAATCAATTTAGCCTCAAACCAAATGTGTGTGCACACCTTCAGGTTAAGTAACAGCAAAAAGACTGAGCCACTGCCATCTCCAGCTGGTCCATCACCACCTTATGGACTATGAGGTAGTTCTCCAGTAGGGACCATCATGCTTCATGCTCAAGACAGACCCACTAGGTACTCCTGCACGATAAGCCAGTACGTGTGGTTATACATCCTGTTGTGACAAGGATGTGCACCCCTGAATGGAAACATCTGAAACGGAAAACATTTCTTCTCGGTCCTTTGCAGCAGAAGGGTGGTGGTTGCTTTGCAGTTTGGTGCTAAGGCAGAGAGATGTGGGTGCCTCCACAGCCAAGAGCCACAGCAACCTGGGCAGTTCAGCTCATGGTGCCCTGTACGTACCTTATCTGCCCCTGGAAGCTTTCTTCACATAACTATTTTATCAATAGGGCTTTAACCTGCAAGGTTGCCAAGGACATTTTCCTTTTATCCAAATTCCAAGTTGAACATGAACACACTAGAAACCCTGGGTCTAACCTGGGGCTTTTTGAGGTCAAAACAAACATCATGACAAACAGGACTAAAAGCAGCCAAGTTAAACTGTGCTCTGACAAAGCACTGGCCTCTCAAACAAGCTGTGCAGCTCGGTGCCAGGGCTGCACCACTACAGCTCAAGAGCAGGAACGCGATGAGGGTGGATGGTCTTCAGGGAAGTAGGTCAGAAGTGGCTCTGAAGGCTTGCCAGCAGGTTGCTGGATCAGGCGCTCAGTACCTGCAGGAGGGCTGCTGCTTTGGAGGAACCAGCACCTCCCACAGCCCTGTGGCTCCCCTTATTGCCCCCTGGCTCCCCATGGTGTTGGGTAGGTTTGACTGGATGGGCCAGCAACATTGGCCACCTCACACCCTCAGGATCCATTTAGTCCTTAGCAGCACAGACACTCCCATTACAGAAATGTATGTTTGTGTCTCTGCTCCCTGAACTCGCTGCACTTCACCTATTCTCCTGGACTTTGAACTCAAAGCAGACAAAGCTCACATAGGTGGATTTGTTCAACATAGCCCATGGTTTGGAAGGAAAAACATGAGTCCCCCATAGTCTGCTTGTTTCTTCTGCTCATTTCTTCCCTGCCACAACTGGTCAAATTACCTTTGCTGTTCATCCAACCCAGTATTTACAGCATCTGCATGACTCAGAGATTGACTGAGGGGAAAAAGAGAAAAGCTGTGTTGCACTCGAAGGCCTGATGATGCAAAGCTTTACACAAACACCATTGCTGGCTTGGAGAACAGGCCTGGAGGAGCGGATAGAGAAAGCTTCATAGAGTGACTTAGCCCATACTTGGTTGCAAATGCATTCTGCAGTTATCAGGATTTAACAATCATTAGCTAGATTATGTGCACGAAGAGGAATAATGAAAAAGTACCGAGGGCCATTCATTTTCTGAGTTCCAATCTCTTTATTTGGTTAAGTGGTCTGAGTCAATGAGTTCATGCTCTCCTCTATTTCTGAGAGCTTCTTCAGCATCTGGCTCACCTTGGCCTCATCAAACTCCAAACAGAGGAACTCCGATTCCTACAAAACAAGATTGCAAGAACAACAGTTGAGAAAGATAATGGGTTTTTAGGTATACAATGGAGGCACGACAGCAAATTCTGGTTTCCTGATGATCTGTCCCCCGTGTCCCCTTTTTTCCCGGTACCACTCAAATAACCTCAGGAGACCCAGAAGCTGGCTACACCCAACCGAGAGAGAGCAGTATGTGCCAGTGGCTGTCAAAGAGGACACAGGACAGCTGAGCTCTGCCCACCCTTCCCTTCAGTGCAGGCATCAGTTTGGGTGTCTCCTTAGCTGCAGACTTCTGCAAAACTTGTGGGAATTGAATTATATTTGAGACTTCCACTTTTCTTTCCAATCCGCTGATCCCCAAAGCTCTCGTTGCAGATGCTGGGAACTGCAAAGTGGTTGGAGCCACCGCACGAAGCTCGTCATATACAAAACCCAGATTTTATACAGGAAAAACAAGAATCCAAAACAGAGTCTTGTACAGGACATTCCAGTCAGGAAATTCAGGAGAGATTTGTATTCTCTTATTCACGGGTTCTAGTATCAATATAAACTTAGAAGTGAGTTAAGAAGTATCACCGATTTGCTCTGAAAAGTCCTGTCACATCTTGAAAAGTAGTTATCTCTTGACAAGATGGATATTGAGATGCAGTAAAAGGATCTTTTCAAAAGCCCAGATAATAAAGAAGATATATATATATGTATATATAAAAGAATATGTGTGTATGTATGTAGGAAAACATATATATACGAAAAGTTCCAATAATATGGAACTCATTAGTAAACACCAATGTGAAAAGGTCTCCTGAGATCTCCAGCCCATTAGCCTTACCTACTGCTATGTCTATAGTTACAAAGCATTTCCTACAGTCAATCTGGCAGAAGTAATGTTTGAGATTGCCAGAAGCCTGATTTGTGTCCTAAAGGTCATTCCAGGTGAAGCACCATGAGTGACAGAGAAACAAACTGAAAGTATTTGAAGATGAAAGTGCAGCCGATATGGAGGAGGTTTCCTTATGAGACACCGGAACAGTTTCAGCCATGAGAATCACTGTTTATTATCTTATCTGCTAACAACCAAATCAACCAATAGACCAAGGGGCAGAGCTTTGTCATAGATTTATTATGTGGGTGCTTCTGATCAGAAAGGGTTCCAAAGAACTACAGAGAACTTAGACTGAATGATGTATCAGTAAAGTTCAGTAACAGTCACATAATATATACCATGCAGAATATACAGATGACTACGAGGAAAGACCTTTGTGTGAGCAAGCAATTATGTTCATCAACAGCATCCTACTGGAAACTATTACTGTAGGTTGTGGTTTTGTTTCTTTTTTTTCAGAACTAATCACTCATCTCTATAGTACCACTTAGTACATTCCAAAACATCACAGAAGTAGCGTTAAACATTCAGGATCAATGACAAGAGAGAGATGAAATCTAGGACTTGGAAGCAAGGGCTCTCTCACACAATTTTTCTTGTCCTTGACAAATGGTTATTGACACGTCTTATGGAAATATCTTGTATATAACATCTCTGCAAGCATAATTATAGTAAAGCATAATTACAGCTGATCACTGTGCAGAAGGAAGATGTTTGGTGATGAATTTGACAGCTTAACTCCACAGTCATAGTCCTTGACAGGACAAACTCCAAGGCCAAACTCCTGGTGACATCTCAGGCTTTCCAGCCACAACTGTGCACCTCAAGTCATGAGAGCCCATCAACCAGCTTCCCCAGGCCAGGGTTTGCCCATGCAACATCTTCAACATCTGCATAAGCTGATTTTAGGGTTTAATGACATGGCGAATGTGAGCGGACAGAAGAGCAAAGTGCCCAGCTCTGGTGGAGATGTTTTTACACAAGCCTAAGGCATAAGGAGGACTTTTTTTTCCCCTCCTCTTCAGGTTTTGTCAGTTAAAAGGAATGTAAACTAAGCAAAAGGACACTCTTAGATTACACTAAGGCTCTGCAAGGCACTTTATACAAGCTTAAGTGTACTGACAAAGCATACTTTTATCCATAAAGCAGCTAAAACTTTCCAATGAGGGTTGGATGGTACCTAGTTATGACACTCTCACGTGGACCAATCTAAAACATGACCAAGAGGGCTGTGAATCAGGCTGCTCAGAATTTGGGTTCAGTTTTATTTAATGCCTTGTTAGTTTATACCCTCTACGAAAAAAAGTAAGAAAAAAGAAGACAGAGCTGTGAAATTCAAAACTCCTCATTGCTCGCCTCAGGTGTCCTCCAGGAGCAACACAAATTTGGTACCTCTGCTCCTCCTCAGCAAGAAACACATCATCCTTTTTGATAATTCCTACTGTTAAAAGAAATCTCAGCCCACTTGGAGCCCCTTCAGTTAAGCAAAACCAAAATGGAACAAGTCATTCATTACTTGGAAGTCCTGAAGCATGACACATTGGACTTCAGCTGAGCTCTTCGTGGAGATCGTAGAATCACAGAATGGTTCGGGTTGGAAGGGACCTTAAAACTCATTCAGTTCCAACCCCCTGCCATGGGCAGGGACACCTTCCCCTAGAGCAGGTTGCTCCAAGCCCCTGTGTCCAACCTGGCCTTGAGATGGACATGGTCTCTGGAAAAAGGGCCGTGTATGCGCATAAGCGGGGCCATTAAGTGCATAATCATTGTGCAATGGAAATGGCACATGCATCCCACCTTCAGGCTGGAAAGCCAAGCTCAGTGCTCTCAGAAAGGTGTGGGAATGGACATCCATTTCCTGTGGCTGTCTTGGTTTTCTCCCCACATGCTTTCCCACCCCTCCTCCCACTTCCCTCCTGAGCCTGGGCTATAAAAAGGAACTGCAAAACAAACATCCAAGAAACACAAACTCCCCCCAGCCTCCAATCAGGTCTTCCAGGTTTCTTTCTTTTTCAGTAACAACAGAGTGCTGCAAAAATATTTCTATGAGAGACTAAGAGAAGCACAACTTTATCTCAGTAGTTACAGTTAAACCCATGTATTTTTAGAAAACCAATCCTCACACATTCAAAACTTAAAAACATAAGCAGTTCTCTATTGCGTTAGTGTGAGCAGCTACCTGAAATGGTTTCCAGCAACTTTGATCCATCTTGTATTTTTAAGTTTTAGCTACTGTGTTGAAAAACAAAGATAAACCCTCTGAATTCAGGCATAATTTTATTCGTATCATTTCCACTTGATTCCGGGACAACCTATGACACTCATTCAGGGAACTTAGTCACTGCCTGGACTGCAGCGTAAGTTGGGAGTAAATCTGCTTTGGATCACGAAGTGTCTTGACTAAGGCTTGTTCCATGGGCTGGGGTGGTGGGTTGGGGCATGTCCCAACACAGAAGTGAGGAATTCAGCTTTGTTAGCAAGTGGTGGTCACACATGGGACACTGGTAGGGTTCGGTCAGTGGGGTGCCATGCTGGCCCAAGGACATTGAAGGTTGCTACATGCAAATATTTGCCTACTCAGGTGGAAACACCTTGGACAAAGGTGTGAGAGGCGAGGAGAACCCCCTGCCAAGGGGCAGGAATCACAAACTGCTCAGCAACTGAACAAAGATGCCAAGGTGTTGATGACAGCCTCAACAACTCACAACTCAGGTGGGGTTCAAAGAACTGGGGGCTTTCTTCCATTAATTCAGAGAAGCGCTGCCAGCTACCAGGAGAGCAGGTCTCCATGGTGCAGCAGAGATGTCATGTGCAAGGGGAGAGGGAGCCAACTCCACCTTCACACTGGGAGCACTCTACAGCGTTCAAGGCATGGAGACAGGGAGAAACGCAGGGTTTGTCCAGTTAGATACTATTTTCATATCAAAAGCAGCAGCATTTTACAACTCTGTGCAAGGAGAACACAGGAAATGCTGTGTGCCCATCCTCACCTCTGTGGATTCCAGACATGCCTGGAGTGAGCACAAGCCCACTCACAGCCTTGAACTGGGGTCTCAGAGACCACTGGGCTATTGGTGCCACTATATCCCTGGCCTTGAACACTGCCAGGGATGGGGCAGCCACAGCTTCTCTGGGCACCCTGTGCCAGTGCCTCAGCACCCTCACAGGGAAGAATTTCTTCCTAATGTCTAATCTAAATCTCCCCTCTGTCAGGTTAAAACCATTCCCCCTTGTCCTGTCACTACATGCCCTTGTAAAATCATGTAATATTCTACCATAATATGCCAGGAGCCAACCATGTAGAGTTTTCCTCCCAAACAGCTGCCCCTGTCTCCTCTGCAGAGAAGTCACCTGCAGAGTGCATCTGGCCACAGCTCAACCCACTACCTGCAGCAGGATGTGTGCAGCAGCTCAGGGGAGAGACAAAGTTGTCCCCACCTGCCCAGTGGGGTTTCACCACTCCTCCATGGATGCTGCCACTTCCACTGCACACCCAGCTGTGGGCACCCTCCTGCTGCAGAATGAGGTGCCCAGCATCTTACTCAGACAAGGCTTAGTTGTGTAGCAGGAAAAAGCACTGAAATACATAGAAGGACCACCTTTCTTTGGAGGATTGCAGGCACACCTATACCTCTGAAGAATACATGTCTTATGTTCAATCCTAATAAGTTATTGAGGGGGATGTTTCAGATATAAATTGAATGTAACACATTCAAATTGTTTATTTTCAGGTTGGACGGGGCTTTGAGCAACCTCGTATGCTGGGAGGTGTCCCTGCCCATGGCAGGGGGGTTTTAAGTGGATGATCTCTAACCCAAACCATTCTGTGATTCAGAAGAAACTCAAGGATATATAAAGCCACGTTACAAGCTAACCAAACATTTTCTTTCAGACAGAATTATCTCCGTAAACACAAACCTGAAAACCATCTCTGACTTTTACTGTAAGTGCACTAAAGAAATTGCAGGCTTTGCTTACATCAGAGCAGTAGGGTTAGGGTTAAATCAGCAATGTATTAACACCAGATGAGTACCTTACAAGTCACAGTACAAGCAAATCAGGTGGCAAATGGAAAAGCCAGTGGGGGATAAATAAAACAATCCTGGAGAAAGCTGCTGGTGTT